ACTTAGAAACATTTTTCACTAAATTTTACTCGATCAGTATGCTTTCTGGTGCTAGGAGAAGTTGCTTTAGTAAACATCCAGGATATCGGTGTATGTCTCTAACTCAGAGAGATTTGCCAAAAGAAAAATGGCTTTGGTATTACAGCAGTTTCACCAAGAACGGAAAAATATTCTGGAACCACTTGTCTACTTGCTGCAATATGTTGTGAAATAGTTTTTTGAAGTAATGGATATTGCACTTCTTAAAGTAAAGACATACTGCAGAATTTCAAATATATTAGCAGTGGTCTTTAGGTTAATAAAATCTTTGCAATGATACAGGGAGATCCTCTCTATTTTTTATGCTTGCAAGCTCTTTGGCAAAGTCTCCTAGGAATTTTTTTGTTTTTGGCATGGGCCTGGTAATATTTGTCATGTGGTTATGAAATTACAGAATAGATTCAAATCAAAATAATGACAGTGCATAAAGGGCTGAGTTAATACTAATTTTATGTAGTGTATGTGTGATAAGACTTTAGGTTGACTAATTGATCCAGTTTTACATATTGTAATAACACTATTCATTTTAAGGCAAATCTTTCTGATTTACATGTTTAGATTTGATGACATTGGAGGATTCTAGAAACTAGTTTCAGAATAATTTTCTTTAGATGAGGGACCTATTTCCAATGGAAGAGACTGGTTGTTTTCATGAAAGACAAAGAAATAATTACTTAGACACACACACACACACACACACACACACACACACGATCCTTGAAGCAAATACAGTTTAAGTAAAATTTTCTTGCAAACAATTGAATTCTTGAGATATCTCCATATTTTTTTCCCTTTCTCCTCTATTACTTTCTAACCACTCCAAAATCACATTAATATGTTCTTTATATACTATGGAATCGCCATGACTGTAATTGGTTGTTATTCTCTAATGTTTGGCCTTTTCTCCATGTTTAAGTTTCTTTCTGGGAATTAAATTTGAGACTTAAGAAGAGTCAGTTAATTCCATCATTTCCCTGTGCTAAAAAACTCAAGACTCGGCAATAGCCATTATTTAAATGTTATTTGTTAGAAAGGAACTTTGGCTCTAAGAGGTACCAATCTTGATAGGAAACTTAAAGAACCGAAATGAAAAAGGAAATGATAGATCATTTCACCATATCATAACACAACAATACTAACTCAAATCCATTTTTGGCTGGATTTAAAATCACTTCTGCTCATATAAATCTATTCTATTTATTTATGATGTAGATACTAGTCGGGCTTATTTTTTTCTAGGTAATATGAAGTCAAGCTATTTGGTAAAAATGAATTCATTTACATGCTGAGAAATGATCCATATGAGGATAATTGCTTTGAAAACACTGAGTGGGGAATGCCTTGAAAGTGCTCCTATAATTACAAATATCCTTTTATTGCAACAAATTTCACCAGTATAACATTAAAACATATAATTGAATCATGGCCAGTTGAAATTTATTGTTTTCCACTATGGCCAAATTTACCATGGCAAATGAAGATGAGGAAACATTCAGTTTCAGTTTGCAATAATGAAACTTCACATTAGGAAGACTGCATAAAAATGAGAGGCATTTTCTAGGAAGCAGGCTAAAGTGGAATTTTAAAAACGATTCTTTAGTAGGTATAAGTAAATTCAGAATAATTTGGAAGGAATTTGACTGGAGGTTGTAAAGGGTCATCAGGATGAGAAAAAAGAAAAAAAGAAAAAAAAAAAAACTAGGGCAAATGCTGTCCTCCAGTTCTCACTTGCAAATCCCAGTGAAGCCAATGGAAGGTTTATGGAAATAACTGAAAGACACATTTGGCCTAGTTCAAAAGCTCTACTAAATTAGTATTTTAATAAATTGTCCTAGATAAGTTTTGTCTTTATGGTCCTTTTAAAATTATTTCACCCACAGTTCTTCATAGTTTGCTTGAAAATTACAGAAAAGAAGAAAAGCTAACAAGGGACATTTGACTTCTTGTTTAAGTTAAAAGATACTAAAAGATACTTTGCCTCCCTCATTTCCCCAGCCCATGCTGAGAAAAGGGCCTTTGTAAAGAAATTCATGAATCCTATGCAAGATTTGTGTTTTTTATGCCCGTAATATGGGAAATATAGACAGATATAAAAGATATAGTTCTGATATTTAGCTTGGAGGAATTCAGTCTCTGAAATGAAACTGTGTCTAGAATTGATGGCTTCTGATTTAAGTTTTATTTTATAATACAGAGAGCATAGCTGTTGCCTTGCGATACAAGAAAGAGCTAGGTAGCCTCATATTTTCTGTGATTTATATTTACAAAAGCCTCTATTTTGGTCTGGTACACAGCAATGTACCTTGTCAGTGGTACCAGATTTAGTTTCTGGAATTGCAGGAGCAAAGCATCACTTAATAGTATTTTGGAGTCAGCTATGAAATAAACTTGATTTCCTTAAAGAGACAGGCTTCGATAATCACCTGTTTTTGGGTTTCAGATCTATCTTTGCAGGTAGAACCAAGGAGGCTTCCTGAAGACATCCATTAAGGGAAAAGGAAGCCAGGTGAGAGTTTTTCCACTCAAAACTATGTCTTATCCAGGAGGAATAATTTGGACTATAGATCCTGGAGCCAGTCCAACCAAGTTCACATCCCTGCTCTATCACTTCTAGCTCTGTGACTGTCCCAGCCACTCTAGTCATGGTTGAAAGGGTCCAACATACAGCTCAGGCTGTGGTTTCAGAGGGTGGAAGCCTCAGGCCTTGGCAGCTTCTATGTGGTGTTGAGCCTGCAGGTGAACAGAAGAACTGAGGTTTGGAAACCTCTGCCTAGATTTAAGAAGATGTATGGAGACACCTGGATGCTCAGGCGGAAGTTTGTTACAGGGGTGGGGCCCTCATCGAGAACCTCTGCTAGGGCAGTGTGGAAGGAAAATGTGAGGTCAGAGCCCCCACACAGAGTCCCTACTGGGGCAATGCCTATGAGAAGACTGCCACCGTCCTCCATACCCCAGGATAGTAGATCTACCGACAACCCGCACTGTGCACCTGGAAAAGCTGCAGACACTCAACGCCAGCCCTGTGAAAGCATCTGGGAAGGAGGCTGTACCCTGCAAAGCCCCAGGGGTGGAGCTTCCCAAGACCATGAGAATCCACCTTTTGCATCAGAGTGACCTGGATGTGAGACCTGGAGTCAAAGGAGATTATTTTGGAGCTTTAAAATTTGACTGCACCACTGGATTTCAAACTTGCATGGGCCCTGTACCCCCTTTGCTTTGGCCAATTTCTCCCATTGGGAATGGCTATTTTTACCCAATATCTGTACTTTCATTGTATCTAGGAAGTAACTAGCTTGTTTTTGATTTTACAGGCTCATAGACAGAAGAGACTTCCCTTGTCTCAGATGAGACTTTGGATTGTGGACTTTTGGGTTAATGCTGAAATGAGTTAAGACTTTGGGGGACTGTTGGGAAAGCATGATTGGTTTTGAAATGTGAGGACATGAGATGTAGAGGGACTAGGGCAGAATGATATGGTTTGGCTGTGACACCACACCCAAATTTCAACATCGAATTATATCTCCTAGAATTCTCATGTGTTTTGGGAGGGACCCAGTGGGAAGTAATTGAATCATAGTGGCCGGTCTTTCCTATGCTCTTCTCATGATAATGAATTAAGTCTCACTAGATCTGATGAGTTTATCCGGGGCTTCGGCTCTTACTTCCTAATTTTCTCTTGCCGCTTCTATGTAAGAAGTGCCTTTTACCTCCTGCTATGATTCTGAGGTCTCCCTAGCCGTGTTGAACTGTAAGTCCAATTAAACCTCTTTTTCTTCCCAGTCTCAGTTTGTCTTTATCTGCAGAGTGAAAATGGACTGATACAGTAACCTTACTTTGTTTTATCACTCTGAGCTCCTGGTACCTAATTTCTTAAATAATGGCTATGACTACAGGGCTTTGTGAGAATTTAAAAGTATCTTGGGGTGCTAGAGCATTGTGTTTTGAAGCTAAGCTCTCATTTTTATTTTATATTAAGCACCATCATTCAGATTTGTTTCTTAATCCAGTTCCCCACCCCTTCCATTGAGATAATATAGATGCTTGTAAGGGAACCCTGAATGGGAGAAAGGATATGTGGAGGCAGAAATAGATGCCACAAAATAAAAGCTGAGAGAGCGACTTCAGTAAAAACTCTGTGAGCCTTCTCCTCCCACCGTCTCTTGATAACAGTCTAATCCTATTTGACAAGACGTAAGGAAAGGCATTCTCTTTATTCTGCAACACGACCCTTTTGGTGGCTTCTGTGGATCATCAAAGCAGGGTCAGGCAGCAAAGAACCATCCATAGCTGAAAAGGCATGGGGCCAGGGGAGGCCGGGGTGCTACCGAAAGTGGGGGTGGGTGGGTTTGTGGGGCTGCAGAAGAGGAACGAATACAGATGCCACATTTCAACTGTTCTCTCTCGTTCCTGAGTACTCCAGAGACATTCCCAGGGGTTGCTACGAAACATGATCAAGAGTTGAGGTTTCAGCAATTGACAGAAATGTACAAATCGCTAAGCATTTCTTGCTTGTCTGTTACATACCGGGCATGGTGTTAGCAACAGTAACACAAAGCTGATAAAGAGGTAACTCTGCCCAGCGCAGAATCGCACTCCTGTAATCCCAGCACTTTGGGAGGCCGAGACTGGTGGATTACGAGGTCAACAGATGGAGACCATCCTGGCCAACATGGTGAAACCCTGTCTCTACTAAAAATACAAAAATTAGCTGTGCGTGGTGGCGTGTGCCTGTAGTCCTAAGTACTCAGGAGGCTTAGGCAGGAGAATCGCTTGAACCTGGGAGGTGGAGGTTGCAGTGAGCCAAGATTGTGCCACTGCCCTCCAATCTGGTGACAGAGCAAGACTGCCTCAAAAGGAAAAAAAAAAAAAAAAAAAAAAAAAAAAAAAAAAAAATGACGTCGCTGACCTCAAGTCCTTGTCAGGTTCAACCACATACCAAGACATTTTTAATACCCTGTTAGGAATCTGAGGCAGCACAGGCCTAGGCGTTAGCAAAGCGGGCAGATTTCAGATAGAGGGTGCCATCCAGGATAAGAAAATGAACTTTTGTTGTGTCGTATTTGCATTTTCATTCCTTAACTAAGAGTCTCTGAAAATAGTGATGGCGCAAACGAAGTAAATTCCTGCTTTAGCACCAAATGGATTAATTTACCATGGTTTAAGCATTGAACTAGTCCTAATATCACCATTTCAGAAACGTCTATTAGTATTAATCAGGGTAAAAAACAGGGATCGCTTTCGCAAGAAGCGAGATTGCACGCCTTCCTTTCCAAGTACAGGGAAAGGCGACAAAATCCCCAGTGAAAAGCCCAGAGGCGGCGCACTCAGCTCCGGGGCGGCCCACGTGTCCGCCCACCCCGCACCGCGCCCAGGCCCATCCCCATCGAGCAGAGTCCGCCAACGCTCGCGAGAGCCCTCTCGGCTTCCACGTTTGCCACGTTCCAAAGGACGGGGGACAGACTGGAAAGCCGAAAGAGGCTTGCTCTTATAGGCAGCTGCGTCGCGGCCGAACGGCCCCAAGTGTGCAGGGGCGGGGAGCGCGGCAAGGTACTGCCGCCTCATAGGGGCCCTTGCGATTGGCTCCCAGGCGCCGTCACTCAGCCTTCCGGGGGCGGGGCGAGGCCGGGAAGGGGCGTGGCCGTCAGGCGGCGAGCCGCGCGCTCTCGCCCCGGGAGGGAGTCACAGGTTCGCACACGCGAGGCGGGGCGCGCGCAGCCGGCACGCGGGTGAAAGTCCTCCCAGGCGCTGCAGGCGGTGCCGAGGCACAGGCTTTGCTGCAGGAGTAGCGGCCCGCACTCGCTCTAGCGCCCGCCGCGGTCAGCGGCTCCCGTGTCGCGAGTGTCCACCCGCGCACTGAGGAAGCCCACCAGCCCTCGCCAGCCTTGGCGGAGCGCGCTATGGCCCCGCGTAAGAATGCCAAGGGCAGCGGCAACAGCAGCAGCAGCGGCGGCGGCTCCGGCAGCGGTAGCACGAGCGCGGGCAGCAGCGGGGGCAGCAGCAGCCCCGGGTCCAGGAGAGGTCAGAGGCCCTGCGGGGCGGGGTTCCGGGGCCGCGCCTCGGGGTGGGGACCCTGGTGGCGCGGCGGGCGCTGCGGCTGCATCACCCCAGGTCCCACCGCGCGCCTCCTCCATCCTCCGCGTCCCTCCTCCTTTCGGCGCGTGGGGCGGAGGCCGCACTCGGCGGGCCTGGCGGGAGGGCGAGGGGCCGGGAGGACCCGGGTCCGCGCCCTCGGGATGGTGGTCTCGGGGAGCCCCTTCTCGGCGGTTCCTTCACCGGCAGGGCGCTGCCGAGACAGAGGTTGCTGAGAGACTGTCTCTTGGCTTTCCGTGGAATGGAACATGGGACTAAGAGAACGATTTATCCTTTGCCTTGCATGTTTTGGGGAGTTGAAAATGAGCCAAAGTCAGGAAAAGTGAGTTCCTGCCTAACCAGGGGCGTTTCAGAGCAACTCAAAAGGAGGTGAAAGTGGGGCCCCTGGGGGCGTGGGGGAGGGAGTTGGGAGTGATTTGAATGCTCATGGAAATTATTTTTAATATTTTTGTTTGTATGTAGCTTTCTTAATATGCATTACAGTTGCCTTTAAAATATCTCAGAATGTCATGAAATACTGAACAAACGTCTCTATTTTTACCACTTTTACTTAAAAGAAAAATCGATTGGATGTTCACCTTTCTCCTAGTCCATGTGCATACACAGCAGAGAGAGATTTTTAAATCTGTTTCGTCTCATATTTCAGCGGTTCTTCATTTATACTTCCCTTAACTCATTTAGGATATTGAAACTGCAGCACACATGTGTTTTGAATGTGAGCTGGAAACTTCACTTGAAATGATCTAGAGTCTTTGTTTGTTAAGATCTACAGATCATGCGTTCATAATATACCAAGAAAATGAATCAGAGAGCTATGGTCAAAGAAGTATTTTCTTCATAGCACTTGTCACCATCTGAACTTGTCTTATTGCTTTCATGTGTGTGGTCTTTGGCTCGTTCTCTTCGTATCCACAGCTCCACGTTCCTGCCCCGTAATAGGTGCTCAACGAATATTTGAATAGTGAGTGAATGAATAAATTTAAATGGGGAAAGTAGTGCATTAAATCCATTGCACAAAGTTGCATTCTAAGGACTAGTATTTGTATTCTAAATGTAAAGAGGTACACACAGTTTGAAGTTCAGTGCAAACATTAAGTCACCTTTGACATAAGTAAAAGCTTGTGTTCCTTTTTCATTTGTTATTAAACGTCACTTACTTAAACCTGCAGAGGGATAGATTAATTTCCTCAGCTGACTGAGGCTAGCTTTTTAACATTCCTAAATGAGAAGAACCTGTTGTGCCTCTTAGGGCACTAAGCAGAGAAAGCTGATGAACAAGACTTTAATGTTAGTTGTTTTCAAAAGGTTTTTGTAGCTATTTACCAGTGAAGCGTATCTTCGTTCCATTTTATCTTTATGAGTAGAGGACTGATTGCATCTGAGGAAGTCATTTTATATGGCTTCTTATTGGTGAGAACTAGAATTGGGAAATGTGTGTCACGTTTCTATCCCTACCCAGTAAATATTTGAAGCATGTTAATAGGCAAGAGATAGGTTTAGCAAATGTAATAACTTCTCCTGACTTTCATACTCAGGTATTTTAGAGCAAACTGTCCATATTTGAGGATCTACAGCGTTTTAAGCGTTTTACACATTGATTGCATAATAGTCATGAAACAGACTTAGTATGTAAAAGAATATGTAAAAGGGAGGAATGCCTGTGTTACAAAATCAAACAAAATTTGATATTGGAGCCCTGCATGTTACGTAATGAGTATTTTTCCAAAGCTGTCCCCCCTCCCTCTTCCCCCTCCCCAGTAAATATTGAGTTTTGACTGTCTGCCAGGTAGAAGGCACTGGAGATGAAACCAGGATTCTTTCCATCATCCTAAACAGTTAAATTGTGGTGTCGTGTAAAGTAGGCTGTACTTGGAAGATAAAGCCGGCTTTTTTTTAATGCTGTGTTTACCACCTGGTCATTAAGGTATGGACATTGTGCAAACCCTTCCCTTCTACTGGGAAAATCAGACTTTTTAGCAATGGCATTACTGTGAGAACCGTTTAGTTTCTGGCTTAAGTCACACAGATGAGGAAATTAATGCACAGAAAAGTTGTCAAGTTCATTGAAGGTTGTTTAGTTCATGGAAACTCGACTAATTCCTTGAAGACCAAGACTAAGAACTTAGGTTTTCTGTTACTCATTCATTTTGCCATGCTACTTGAATTTTATGTTCTCTAATATGTAAATGGATTTGAACTAGATTATCAAGTTTTCTTCTGGCTGTCTCCATGAGTACTACACTTCATTATTGGAGAAAACTATGCTTTTGTCCTATCACCAATTTCATTTCCCTTGACAAAAATTGTATTTGAATCAGTATTTGAAAATTTGAGTAGTATATGGGTTCAAATAGTACATTTTTCGAGATGTCTTGCATTGAGAGTCAGAAGATGATGGCCTTGGTCACATTAAACATTATTTCTTAAGTTTGGGAGTAAAAGTATGGGGGAAAATGGGCCCAGTCATTTGAAACATGCATTTTAGGGAAAAGGTGATTTATTTACTTATTTTTCTGGCCAGACTTCATCTCGCTGGTCATTTTCCTGTAAAGTGGTATTTGGAAGCTGGAATTTGGGGAATTTATATCACACAGATTTTTAAAGCAGGTGTCTGCTTTTTATTTTCTTCAGCTTAGGCTGAAAAATGATAAAATGTTTTTCTACAGAGTTCAATTTTACTTTTTTTTTTCAGTTTTAGTCTTTCTAATATAAAAGAAACGTGAATAAACTAGACTTCTTAGCTTTAATTTGCATATAGAACTGGACTTGCATGGCCAGTTGGGGCCAGGAGAAGCCTTTTTCAAATTTATTGATTTAAAAATATTTTATCAAAGAAGGACCATGGTGTCCTTTTGGGCCTATTTTGTAGACACTGGTATGTGTCATGTTTTCTGTTCGTTTGTTTGTTTAGCTTTTCTCTTTTGAGTATCACTACCTCCCTCTTATCTCCTAGCGGCTTTCCATCTCCCTGTTTATTTTGTCTGGATGTCGTGACACATTGCTTTTTACCACTAGGTGTCACTATAGAACATTTCCCCCCTTTAATTTGAAGCTTCGGGTTGTGTAACAGCAGTTTTTAATTATTATTTTTTAATCCATCTGTACATACTCAAAACTATTGATAGATAAGCACTTAAAAACTCTTAGCTACTTCTTAACTGTCTCAGGGTCTCTCAGTTAAGATTGAGCAACCTTTTGGTTTAGGCTTAATTAGTATTAAAGATATTTGTGTACTACCTGTAAAACATTAACAGCTTCATTTGATGGATATTTGTGATTTAGAAACACTTCTGAGTTTAATTTAGCTTTTTTCTCCTACTTTCAGTGTCTCTAAGATTACTAAGTAATTGAGGGATACAATACACTGCTGATTGCATTGTGGAGCTTTTGAATGAAGAGGCCCTAGCAAAATTTTCTTTCTTTAGCCAAAGACCATCAGAGCCAATTGCTTAATCCTCCGTTAGTCATCCTAAGATGGAAAGATAGGAAGACCATAATTCTTCCACTGCAAGAACCGTCAACTATTTTGTGTTTGTTTCAAGAGCATTTTGTCCACCCTGACCAGATGAGATGAAACCAAGCATTAAATAATGCTCCGAGGGAGTTTATGAACACATTTACCAGAGACCAGTTAACCTTTGGCGGCCTGTGGAAGTAGAAGTTTTATATTTTGGACTATATTTTAGTCTTGCTTTAAAATCATCTGTCTCATAGAGATTCTTAGAAAATGAATGTATGACATTTTCATTTTCAGCCAGTTATCAACAGAGAAACTTGGGTAAAGTCTCATAAGGTCTGTCCATCTTGTTGTTGGTTAATATCAGATATTTAGCACCTGAGCTCTCCGGTTCCAATAGAAAAACCCTTTTCTCCAGAAAGATAGTGCAGTTTGGTAGAATCTGATGACCTGGATTGTATCCATGTAAAAACCAGAATTAAGAATCACTAAAGCCGGGCGCGGTGGCTCAAGCCTGTAATCCCAGCACTTTGGGAGGCCGAGGCGGGTGGATCA